ATCAAACCTTTAGATCCGCTGCGCATAGGTTTATGTTGAATGTTTGTCTGTGATTTGTGCATATCGAGATCCTCGTGGGTTCCAACAAATGTAAATATGCAAGTATTTAAGGGAAAAAATCTTTTTCACCCCATAACAAAGACACATTAAGTTTTTCACACCGCCCAATAAAAAGCTAAGTTTTTTCACCCCAGAAAGTGCGAAGGTTATGCAAAAATTGTCGCATATTCATCGTATAACTGTCCATGTGCGAAGGTTATGCGAAAAACTGTCGCATAACTGTCGCATATCAATTGCATAACTGTTGCATATTCATCGCACAATGCCTTCACACAATTATGCAATTGATATGCGACAGCTATGCGACATTTTTTCGCATAACTGTCGCATATTTATCGCACAATGCCTTTTGCACAATTATGCAATTGATATGCGACAGTTATGCGACAGTTTTTCGCATATTCTTCGCATATGGACAATTATGCGATGAATATGCGACAGTTTTCGCATAACCTTCGCACTTTCTGGGGTGAAGAACTTAGTTTTTTATTGGACGGTGTGAAAAACTTAACAAGACTTCAAAACGGGGTGAAAATAGATATTTTCACAGTATTTAATGCATATTGTAGAAAATTTCTAAATAAAGTATGTATTAAATATGTGTTGACTTTTCTTGCTACTGTTTTTTATAAATAGGTTGACTTTTAATATATATAAATATATATATATAGATATCTATATCTATTATTATATAATATAGCTAAGAAAAATACGAAAATTGTGTTTGGAAATGGTTATTCTTATTAAATGCACATCTTTTTTGTCGTTTTTTTATCATTTTTTGAAATTGTGTTTGAATTTTTTTGAAATTGTGTTTGAATTTTTTTTGTGCCATGCATTTCCCGTATGATTCTTATTTAGTTACAATAATATCTACAATTTCACTTCCATTTTTTGTGCCAATACAATCCGATTTACTATGAAATTTTGTTTTCATTTACTTTAAAACTAGTATGTAACCCGTGCGATGCACGAGCTAGTACATGTTTTAAAAAAATTTAAAATATTAAAAGGTCATTAATTACTAAGTTATCATAATACATATGGCATTCATAAATTAAACATAAAGTCGTCATTGGTAAAAAGTTATACATTATTAAATACCTCTTTATATACAACGTTATTAGTTTGATTACTTGGTAACTCATCGTCCCCACAAACTAATATTTTCAACACATTCCTATAAGTAACACGTGAAACAGCGACGTATAACTGGCCATGACTAAAAACAGGTTTTTTCAAAAACAGTCCTACATGTGATGAAGACTGACCCTGACTCTTGTTTATGGTCATGGCATAGAAAACCATAAGGGGAAATTATCTCCGCTCGAACTTAAACGGAACCATAACATCAGAAGGAGTTATGTTCATCCGAGGAATCAACACCTTCTCACCTACGTGATCTTCAGTCATTATCCTACATTCAAGAACATGCGGAGAGAGCATCGTAACAACCAAACGTGTGCCACTACACAGACCCATAGAATGGTCCATGTTTCGCAACAACATGACTGGAGTTCCTATCTTCAAATGCAACTCATGGTTCGGCGTTCCCGAACACCTCGCCTTCATTTAGTACACCTCGAAATGCTCCCATATTTGTAGCACGTATTATGCCTTTAATAAATGCACCCTACAAAAATTTTTTTTATATATTAATTAAAATATTTTTTTCAAATTATATAAATTTGATATTACAAATAAAAATATTTACCTGTTCATCATGAAACAGTATATGGAATGTGTTTCAGCTCTTCCGTTCGTGATGTGTTTCAATTATTCGGACTGCTCTCAAACGCAAATAAAGTTTGTTTGTCCTACTAACGGAATCGAGTGTATCCCAGACTGGCGGCATTATATTATCGATGTGTTCTGAAACTTATCTCTGTATTTTTTTTCTCTGAACGTTGTGAATGAAGTGAAAATAGGGAAAAAAAATCTTTTTCACCCCAATACAAAGATATATTAAGTTTTTCACACTGTCCACTAACAATCTAACTTTTTCACCTCGGAAAGTGCGAAGGTTATGCGAATGGACTGCATAACTATCGCATATCAATTGCATAACTGTCGCATATTCATCGCACAATGCATTCGCACTTTAACTTTTTTTCACCCCAGAAAGTGCGAAGGATATGCGAATGCCTTCGCACTTTTAACTTTCGCAAAATGTTATCGCGTAATTATCGCATATTCATCAAACACTGCCTTTCGTACTTTAACTTTTTTACCCCCAGAAAGTGCGAATGATATGCGAATGCCTTCGCGCTTTTAACTTTCGCACGATGTCATCGCGCAATTGTCGCATATTCATCGCACAATGTCTTTCGCACTTTCTGGGTGAAAAACTTAGCTTTTTATTGGGCGGTGTGAAAAATTTAGCAGGACTTCAAAACAAGGTGAAAATAGTTATTTTCACAAGAAATCATGGTGGTAATGAATATCCTTTTATACAATTTTTTTTTAGCAAAAAAGTGATTGATGAAAATTATTTAAATGGAAAGATATTGGTAAGATTTTAACCAAAAGTGATTGATGATAATTATGGATCATTTTTAATTAATCTTTTTTTTTTGCAGACACCTTATTAAACGCAGGATATGCGGTCTTCAAAGATGAGATTTATATGGAGCCACAAAAGAGAAGATTTATTTAGATTTTGATTCCATATTTTTTATTGTATTCCTCAAAAAAATCGGAAAAATAAATATGCTAATAAAGAGTCCGAACTGTGAAAAAAGACGGAAAAGTTTGAGTCCGAATTGTGAAAAAATTAATGCAATGGCGTGAAAAATTAATGTAATGGCGGGATTCCATAAATATAATGATTTATTCTATAGTATCTATTGCAATTAATGTTCGCTATTTATTAGGCCGAATTGTTAAAACAATACTAAGAGTGACTTTAGGCAATTTTGTTAATTTACTATTTTTAGGCAATAATTAATGAAATTGGCGGGAAAAAGTTTCTAAAAGTAAATTATGTTAATCTTTATTATATATTAATAGATTAGGCCAATAATCATATTTTTTTTCAACAGATATTCATGCTTTTTAATTGAAATATCACTCTCTAGAAAACAATATAAATAAAAATATATAACATTTTTATTAAAAAGATATACATTTTTTTGGATTGAATTGTTGCTCGACATCATTTACACTTTGTTCCAACTTTAGTTCTTTAAAGAAATCAAAATCAAACATAAATAAGAACATTCTTAGCGTAAAACCCAAAAAAGAAACAAAGAAACGTGGGATTCATTTCATGCTCTGTTTACGAAAAAGTTGTTCGTGAGGTCATATACATGTTAGAATAATCAACGTGTTACGTTCTTTAAACGAATTCATATTAAGATATCACTTTTCAGAACGTGTTATCAGTTATGTATTCCTATTTCCTGCACAATTACAACTTACAAGTAAATAAGAGCGCGAAACTAGAAACAAGAAACAAACGACCAAGCAATCAAGTCCATAAGACGAAGCTTTGTTCAACTGCAACCGAATAAAACAAACACTTCATTAATCCAAAAGGCAAAACCCATATCATCATCAGACTCCTCTGCAGGCTCATCTTTCTTCTCCTCCTCCTTGGTGGCACCACCACCAGCAAAGGCAGCTCCACTGTCAGCCGACACAACAGTTGTCGATACCACAACAAACTTGCTCGGATCCTACATACCATACATCAATCAAAATATCATCAATAAATCAAACCAAAAAAACAGAAGCACCAACTAGATTGGGAAGAAAAAAAAAACATTAAACAGAAAAAGAAAAAACATACTGCAAAATATTCTTTGACTTTCTCAGCCTGAGGGAAAGAATAATCGGTGGCCACAGCAAAAGCCAACACATTCTTGTAAGAATTGATAAACATGTGAGGAGCTGCAGCAAGTGTCGGATACGAGATGGCGAGTGAAAGTGAGGTGACCATTGAGACAGCCGAAGCAAATTTCTCAATAAGGTCATCTTCAGTCAAGTCGAGCACCTCTGGGCTGAACACACACCCATTGTCATAAACAGAGATGACAACA